ACCGCAGCGCTTGATCTTCAGGGCTTGGGAGGGTCTGGGGCCTGTGGGTCCTCGCTTGCAGGGCCCTATAATGGGGTTTAGGATTTAGGGTTTAGGGTGTACGGTGTGGGGTTTAGGGTTTAGGGTTAAAGGTTAAGGGTTAAGGGTTTAGGGTTAGGGTTTCGGGTTGGGCCTCCCCACTGTTCGAGATCTCATCCCGGATGCCGACGATGTCATCAGGAGGAGTGATGGGTGCCTTAAGAGGTTCACCCTAACCCAAAACCCCAAATCCCAAACCCTAAACGCTAAGCCCTAAACCCCCTGTGAAAGAAGTCTGCGAGGTTTCGCTCTCCGGAATGGGCCATTGCGGGTTCTAGCGCTGGCACCCCGATGAGGATCGAATGCTCGTGAAGCTTTTTCGGGTTTAGGGTTTCGGTCTACTACACTCCCCTCAGAACCGTCACAAAAATCATAATGTCTAATATTCGCTTGACTTTGACAGAAACAAAAAACACACTTCCTGGCAAAACTGTAGTGATTCGGTCAAAGACCAGGAAGAGGACAGCACCTCCAGAGCTGACGAGCTGTCGAACCCCACCAGCGTGCCCACTTTGATGGCTTAGGGTTCAGGGTTTAGGGTTTAGGGTTCAGGGTTTAGGGACTACTTGGAGGTTCATGGTAACTATTCACCAATTATGACTGCACTTATAACCCACTTATAATCCCCTTAAGTGCTCTGATGTGGTTATACTTGGGTACCAAGTACAGTTAGTATCGGGTTAACAAGTACCCTGAACCTCCTCTGAGGGATTAGGGTGGACCCTCATGCACCTGCCCCCCCCCCCCCCCCCCCCCCCCCCCAACCCCCCCCCCCCCGTCAACTCCTTGACCCCGCAAGCCCAGATTTCAAAATCGAAACCCTAAAACCCGCAACTGCAAGAGCCATTCAACATTTGCGGTGCCGCAAACGCCTGAGAGTGCCAAGGGGCCGGGGGTGGCTCATTGGAGATTTGAGGTCCCTTGAGGTCGCCACGGAAGCCCTGCATTCAAGAGGGTTTAGGGTTTAGGGTTTAGGGTTTAAGGTTTAGGGTTTAGGGTTTAAGGTTTAGGGTTTAGGGTTTAAGGTTTAGGGTTTTGCAACACCGGTGACACTCTTTGAGGGGGGAGTGGCGCGGTCTCTGAATCTGGGGCCTTGATTGAACCCTAAACCCTAAACCCTAAACCCTAAACCCTGAACCCTAAACCCTAAACCCTAAACCCTAAACCCTAAACCCTAAACCCTAAACCCTAAACCCTAAACCCTAAACCCTAAACCCTAAACCCTAAACCCTAAACCCTAAACCCTAAACCCTAAACCCTAAACCCTAAACCCGAAACCATAAACCCTAAACCCGAAACCCTAAACCCTAAACCCTAAACCCTAAACCCTAAACCCTAAACCCTAAACCCTAAACCCTAAACCCTAAACCCTAAACCCTAAACCCTACCTCCATCTACCCTCTCAAGCCCAAGGCTCATACCTTCAGGGGAGTCAAACTTGGACCCCCTTAAGGGGTTCCCTCAATCTACTCCCAATATGGCCCTTCTATTCCCTTGGAGGATCTTCAAACGGGGTTTAGGGTTTAGGGTTTAGGGTTTAGGGTAACATGTAAGGGTACGACCTTAGGAGTACAAGGTAAATCCCAGGATATTTCCCTAAACCCTAATCCAAACGCGAAGGCCAACCTGAGACAGCCGCGTCATCATCTCTTCCAGCTTGGACAAACCTCGTTGAGACTCATCTTCTTTTGGCACCACACTGGAAATGTAGTTTTTTGATACTTTCTTTTTTGTACGAGCCTGTAAAATAAGTACATGTTTGATACTTCCTTGTCTTCTTTGTAAAGCCTGAGAATTAAAGCATAATTCCTAAAGGAACTATAGAAACTTAGCTATCCAGTAACCAGGGAGACTAAAGGTTCACCTTTGAAAACTCATAAGAATTATACTACCCCAAAAAGGTTGAAGGTTTATCTACTTTACTACGAAGAAACCCTAAACCCGAAACCCTAAACCCTAACCCTACTAAGCCTACTACTAAGGAAAGGCTTGGCGGAGGGACTGGCGCCGTGCGTTTGGATCTTCCAGGGGGTCCTTGGATTTTCGAGCTCCTGGGCTCGGATGGGCGAGGGGACCCTTAGACTGGCGCTGCCCAAAACCCCTAAACCCTAAACCCTATAAACCCTACAAACCCTAAACCCTAAACCCTATAAACCCTACAAACCCTAAGCCCTAAACCCTATAAACCCCAAGCCCTAAACCCCTCTCATGTGGCCACGCGGCGCTCGTGAAGCTCAGGAACCATGGAGGCCAGCGCCACCTAGCAAGGGGGTGCTCATCTCCCGGTTCTTGGCGGGTTTTACTGGGGTAGGGTTTAGGGTTTAGGGTTTAGGGTTTAGGGTTTAGGGTTTAGGGTTTAGGGTTTAGGGTTTAGGGTTTAGGGTTTAGGGTTTAGGGCTTCGGGTTTAGGGCTTGAGGTTTAGGGTTTAGGGTTTAGGGCTTGAGGTTTAGCCCGATAATGAGTCAATTTTATGGCTTGATAAAGGGTTATATAGGGGATGGGGAAGGTTTGGGGGGCCCTAGGACAACGTGATTTTTTTGGTTTTATCAGGACTATATAGGGGATTAAGGGTAACTAACAATAACACGTTATGAAATCTAGCCCTGTTCGGGTAATCTCAGCCAACTTGGGATGTTCCACCTTATACTAACAGTCCTTAATAGGAGTCATGGTAGCCCCCTATTCTAATCCCTCGTAAGGACTGTTAGTATAAGGGGGAACCTCCCCCCTAAACCGAAAAAACCCAAACCCTAAACCCTAGACCCCAACAGGAACGCCACACTACTCAGCTGCGCGCCGTCTCCTCGAGCTCATCGAAGCGTGCGTCGATGGCATGGAGGATGTCCGGCCTGAGCGCCGGAAAAGGGTTTAGGGTTTGCGGTTTAGGGTTTAGGGGGGACGTTCCGCCTTATGCTAACAGTCCTCAATCCCAACGTTTGGGGCATTGAGGGTCTGCTTTCTGACTTGGGGAAACTTGCTGAGGGTAAGGTTATATTCCTTTTGTGAGGGGTATTGGGCTGTTTGGGAGGAGCCTATCGGCGCCCGCACAGTTTTCGATATCGCGGCCTCTTTCTGCACTAGCAGATCGACGATGTAGTAAAGAACCCCCCCCTCCCCCCCAAGAACAACAAACCCTAAACCCTAAACCCTAAACCCTAAACCCTAAACCCTAAACCCTAAACCCTAAACCCTAAACCCTAAACCCTAAACCCTAAACCCTAAACCTAGAGAGCTCCCCTTCCCGAAATGAGAAGCGCTGAATGCCTTTAACCCCAAAAAACCAAGGTCATCCAAAGGGCCCGCCTAAACCCTAAACCCGAAGCCCCAAAGTCCAAACCCCAAACCCCAAACCCAGTTCTGCATCTTCGGCCCAGCGGCTCATTTTGGAATGTCGACTGCCGGCCAAATTTGGGCATGGCCGCAACTCCTAGGATCCTCAAAACTTGCCTCTTCCTGGTGTTTTTCTTGCACTTTCGGTTTCGGGTTTAGGGTTTAGGGTTTAGGGTTTAGGATTTAGGGTTTAGGGTTTCGGGTTTAGGGTTTAAGGTTCAGGGCTTCTGGATCGGGGGGGAGAAGAGAGAGTGGGCTGAATGTCTCCGGATCCCTAAGAGCCCCCCAAAACCCTAAACCCTAAACCCTAAACCCTAAACCCTAAACCCTAAACCCTAAACCCAGGCCACCCTGAGCCTGCCTGGACCCCGAAGCTCTAACTCCAAAAATGCCCCGAGCTTAAGTTGGCGGCTAACGAAAAAAGGGACCCATAAAAAAGGGCCTTGAATACCCCAATAAGGTACCCCAATATCGAAACCCCCCCAGTTCAAGGGGCAAACAAGCTGCTGAAGAAACCGACGCCTTGCACGCGGAGGCAAGGCGCCACTTGATCTCGAGAAGCAGGCTACCCCCGCAGCCGAAGGGCAGCAGACGAAAGGGCAAGGGGTGGAGGAACTTGGGCTGAGGGTCAGGGGCGGAGGCGACACCCAAAACCCTTTCCTGGACCTTCCGGCTAGGCATGCCACAAAAACGGCTTGGGGTTTAGGGGTTTAGGGTTTAGGAGGAGCTGGGGTCACAGCTTAGAGAGCTGAGCATGGGGGTCGGGGCCGAAGGGGTACTCCCCTCCCCACCTCCCCGACCCTGGGCCCTAAACCTAAAGTAGGAGGTCATCTGTCAGGGGGGGGAGGTTTGGCCTGCTTCTCTTAAATCGAGCTGCGAGGACCTCTGCGTATGTATCATTTAAACCCTAAGCCCTAAGCCCTAAGCCTAAGCCGTAAGCTTCAAGTCCTAAACAGAATTGGCCTTCCAAGACAGGAGCAGCCCCCCCAAGCACAGAGGACCCTGAAAGGCTTAGCCCAGGGGGCCCTTCTTCGCCCAAGATGGGCTTAGCGGCCCCCCGATTTCTTACAATTGCAAGAAGCCAGTTCTTGGTGGAGGGCTTAAGGTGCCTGTACCCTAAACCCTGAACCCCCAAACCCTTCAGCTCTTGGGTATGTTACGATCATCGGAGTTCTGAGGGCCTCGGGCTCAAGGGTGTGGAATTCTTCGAATTTCTGGGTCAGTGGCTTCACGTTTGCAAGAAAAGTCCTATGGGTGTTCCTCGGGAGTCCCAAAGCTTCGAATTCTTACGGAAACCCTAAACCCTAAACCCTAAACTCGGGAATCCTCGCAGACTGTGGACGCCCGCGGTAAGGGTTCTTTTGGGGCAGACACTCTCATCCTCCCCGCCCAAGAACCCTCACAAAGTACATGCCGCACACGTCAGCAGATGACTGAACAGGAGCCTTAACAGACCCCCTAAACTTTGAACCCTAAACCCGAAACCCTAAACCCCTAAACCCGAAACCCTATAAACACTAAACCCTAAACTCTAGACTCTACAGGCTAAACCCCAGACCGTAAACCCAGAATTGCAACCTGCTCTGCGTGCCTCGTAGGTTCCTGCCCGGAGAGCCCTCACGATTCCGCCGGGGGTCATTAGGGTCTCAGGGCTGGTTGCAGATTTTGTTTGGGGAAATTGGAGGGTCTGGGGAGTGGGCAGCATTCCTAAACATGAACGCCCTGAACCCTAAATTTAGGGTTCAAGGTTCAGGGTTGATAGGGTTTAGGGCCCTAAACCCTGAACTCTTCTACCCGCATGAGGAATGCTCTACATCCCTGGGCAGCTGGCCACTAGGCCAAACTCTCGCCGACCCAAGACCCCAAACTCTCAAGCGCGGAGGGTTCAGGGGTTTAGGGTTTAGGGTTTAGGGTTCAGGGGTTTATAGGGTTCTGAAGCATGTAGAGTTTAAGGCTTTCAGGGTTCAGGATGTTTTTGATTTGCCCCGAAAACCCAAAACCCTAAACCCTGAGCCAACTGGTAAAGACGGGCCTTCTGAGGCTACTTGTGTCATTCTGGCTCCGGGAGCTTCGGCGTGTTGCTCCGGCTTCTCTGGGTTTAGAGTTTAGGGTTCCTTCGGACTCAAATACCCAAAGCCGACGAATTCTGAGGGTTCCCTAAACCTAGGGCTGAGGGTTTAGGGTGTAGGGTTTATAGGGTTTAGGGTAAAAGTGGCGAGTCTTAAGAACTGAAGATTCTTTGGGCTCCCGAGGTAGGACTCAAAAGCCCAAACCTTACCTGGAACTAGATCCTTGTGGGCTACGTACCCAACGAGCCCAATCCTCCTTAACTACGGAGTGTACCTTAAACCACATAAAGGACCCTTCTCCTCCCCCATTCCTGGATAATGTAAGGTATGTTCCTTAACCAAGGGGTGTTGGGCGCTGTCCCAGAGTTCCTTGCAGGTAGGGGACAAGGGGCACGCGGGTGCTGAGGCAAGCCTCGAAACCCCTATAGGCTACACTTCCCTCACCATCCCAAAGAAACGGCGGTTCTAGTTTTTGGGCGATATGCGCAAAAATGCAACATACTGCCCAAGGGAACTCTATCCTAGGCCCTGAACCCTAAACTCAGAAACTGGCCTAAACCGCCCTGGCCACCCTAAACCCTAAACCCTGAACCCTAAACCCTGAACCCCCTGAGCCCCTAAATCACGTTCGGCCTGAGAACCATGGACAGCAGCGGCATGCGGATGTGCCGCCTGGGCCCCATGCTCAGGGCTTGGGGTTTAGGGTTTCGGGTTGTTCGGGTTTTGAGTTTGTAGGGTTTGCAGTTCTGAAAGGTGCCAAAGGTTCAGCAAGGGGGCTAGGGCTGCTAGGGAGGGTTTTTCGGATTTGTTTTTGGGGCTGCGGGGCTGGCAGGGTTCTTAGGGGTTGAGGGCTTGCAGTTCTAAGAGCTTCCAAAGGTTTCAGGCAGGGGGCTAGGGTTGCCCCAGGAGTCTGGTGCTATGGGGACACAGGGGCGGCAGTGGGGGAAGAGTTGCTCGCTGCGGGCTTCTTGGGATGCCCTTGGAAAACTAGCTCTGCCTTTCGGTGTGAGTTGAACGCAAAAGAGCACCACGTTCCACGGTCACTTTTCACGCCATGCATGGTTATGCACATGATGTTGCACAAGGGGCAAGGGACCACCCCCCCCCCCCCCCGGCGGCCTCTACCTTGCGGGAGCATAATATCTATACACCCAACTCGAAACCGACACCCCAAGCCTCTAAATCCCTGCATCCCAAACCCCTAGACCAGCCTGAGCTTGAAAACCCAAGACCTAGCGAAGGCAACCTTCGAAACTCCCCTCCTCAGGGTGTGGCGGCGCGTCGTCGTGCAGGAAGATGGTGAAGTCCTCACGCTGTGGCAGAGTGCTGTCTAGGCCTAAGAATCGCAAACCCCCACAACCCTAAGAACCCTTAGAACCCTGAAAGATCCCGTAAGCCCTAAGAACCCAAAGACCCCTTACAAGCCTGAAAGAACCGCAAAAACCCCAAGAACTCTAAGAGCCCTAAACCCTTCGGATCCGGGTAGTTCATGGGCAAGGGATCCTGGGTGCTAAGCGTGTTGCTTTCAAGCCCGGGAGCCGCGAAGCTCACAGCCTTCAAAGCTCTAGTGAAGGAATCAAGGGCCCCCCCCCCCCCCCCCTCCCCCCCTTCAACCCCTCAATCATGACGAACATGTGAACCTAAACCCTAAGCCCTAAAACCCTAAACCGTGGAACCCTGAAACCCTGATTCCCTAAACCCTGGGCGCCAGATGGGGCTCCGGCAGCCGTGCGGATCCCGGCAGCGAGGTGTGCGAGGTACCTTCGACGTGGAGCGTGCAGTCGGGGAAGAGGGGGGTTTAGGGTTTAGGGTCTAGGGTTTAGGGTTTAGGGTTGTAGGCTTTGCAGGATGAACTTCGGGTTCTGATCGCAAGCGTCTCCTGATAGACGACCCAGACATTATTTCTTCTCTTTGAGATCTGCATACGATTTTTGTATTATATGCTGATATTATGATACGCTTACCTCGTTATACTGTTAAAAAAATCTGATGCTATCTTCTTGAATTACATGAATACAACATTTTCAATCTTTGACTGCATCTTAAAATTATCATATGAACAATCTCAGCACTGCTGGGTGGGCACGCAGTGCACTCTCCGGTCATGATTACCTCGGAGACCTTCGGGGCAGCGAAGGAAGCTCACGCAATACAGCATAATAATACCATAGTATATTACTATTTCTTACAAAGAAGTCACAACATTTTTTTTACTATAGTTTAAGGATATAATATCATATAACATAATAAAATATAACATACTATGACAGAATATAGCCCCCATTGAAACTCTAAACCCTAAACCCCAAACCCTAAACCCCAAATCCCAGGCCTCAGCCACCTGGCGGTACTCCAAGGAGACGATGCCCTCCAAGCCGGACCTGTGGATGTCGGGAAACGGTGCTACCATTTTCTACTAAGTGCCTAAGAACTACACCCCCCCCAAACAAAAAAACAAGTCGGAATATTCTTCTTTGTAAGGGGTTTTGTTGTTGTTTTTTTTTTTTTTGGGGGGGGGCTCTGAAGCAAACAGTAGTTTTTCAGGGGCCTCAGGTCTCTTGAGACAGAGAGCCCCTTCGACTCCAGGGTGCCGGCGTCTGAGCCCGAAACTCCTCCAGCCCACGGTTGCACCTGCCACAAAGGGTTTAGGGTTTAGGGTTTAGGGTTTAGGGTTTAGGGTTCAAACCCCAGACCCCCTGGGAGGATGCCAAGTAGAGCCCCCAAATAGTACCCGAACTCCCAAAAAGGGGCATAAGGGGGCGCTACTGGGCGTCCTCGCCTATACTCTTGAGTCACTTTGAGGAACCCTTAATGGGATCTACTTTTTGGATCCTCCCAGGGTCTGAGAAACAGCCGCAACACTAGTGGCGGAGTGCTGACACGAGCACAAATTTGCGACTCCACAAAGATGTCTTGGTCGCAGGCGAATATCAAACTTTTCAAAACCGGCCAAACTCTCTTTGACCCGCTTCTCTGACTCAACTTCATGCCGGCTTGTGCTTGTCGTACACGAAGACGCGGCTGCCCGCAGGGTAGTCCAGCCTCTTCAGTTTGTGTGTATGTACACGCGCACACCGGAAGCCAATATCATGAGCGAAATTGGGTAATTATCGTCTTCGTCAGCTTTCAGCTGCCCATATCTTCATACCGAACAACTGCCGACCTGCCTGAACCCAAACACAAAAAGTAGATTCCCTTAACGGTCCCTAAAAATGACCCAATAATAGTTTAGGGCACTATTTGGGAGTTCTACTTTTTGGATCCGCCGAAAGACGCCGCAAACCTCAAACCTGACCGCTCCCAAAATGGGCGCTCGGTCACGAATCGTGTATGCTCTGGCGACAACTGCAACTCCCCAAACCCCAAACCCCAAACCCTGAACCCTAAACCCTGCGTAAACCGCCTTGTGCAAGCCCTTGGCTGTTGGTGCGCAGCTCTATAAGCTTGGGATCTGGCTCCCAGAGCCACTGAAGAGGTGACTTGCACCTTAAGGTTTAGGGTTTAGGGTTTAGGTTTTAGGGGGATGTTCCCTCTTGTACCACAGTCCTTGGTAGGAACTGTAAGAGGGGGGGGGTACTATAATCCCCATTAAGGACTGTTAGGAAAAGGGGGAACATCCCAAGAGGTATTCATGGAGCTGCATAGGGCGGGCCCCTACAAAAAGTGCCAAGGTCGGCAAGGGACGAGATCTGAACAAAGTTGGGGTGGAAGGGGATATTAAAATGAGTTCCAAGTGCCAGGTTCTTGAAAATCCCTGAACCCTAAACCCTAAACCCTGAACCCTAAACTCTAAACCCTAAACCCCCCCCAAAAGGTTTCCGGTTACCTACTCTGCTACTACGAATAAGGTGCCCATCCATCCAGCTGCGACTCAGGCACCGGGCGATGATCAGGTCAACCTGGGCATCGACTTTGTTCTTTGTTTTTTTGTTGTTTTTTGTTTTTTTTTGGGGGTGGGGGGGGGTGGGGTTGGGGCTTGTAAGTAACAAATCCTACAGGAATCTTCTCTTATTCCCCCCAACTGCAGCTGAATGAACACTTTTCCTAACACCAAGCTGCAGGGGCTTCGCGTTCAGTTTCACCCAGCTAGAGCAACATCAAGGGCCTAGCGCTCTGGCTCTTCCTACCCCTAAACTCGAAACCCTAAACCCTAGTCCCCAAACCCTCAACTCTCACACCCAGGCGCCCGCGCCGTCTTGGGGGCACGGGGTGCCTGGAGGAGAGACTGGAAGCCGGCCCAAGCCTCGAGGTTTCGTGGGGTTTAGGGTTTGGGATTTAGGGTTTAGGGTTTAGGGTCACATAGTAGCTCTATTCCCTTAGAGCCGTAAGAGCAACAATATGCTTCATACTCCTTGGGGGGGGGACTTTATGCAACAAAAACACAACTCCCAAAGGAGCTTTAGCGTATGAGTCCCACAGCGGCCCTGAAAAGAGCAAAACAAGCTCAGGAGTCCTGTTGGGTTTAGGGTTTAGGGTTTAGGGTTTAGGGTTTAGGGTTTAGGGTTTAGGGTTTAGGGTTTAGGGTTTAGGGTTTAGGGTTTAGGGTTTAGGGCCCGATGCAGCCTAAATAACATCTCCTTCTAATCCCTGCCTCGCTTACACTGAAGGGCTGTTCGTGTTGGCTACACCAGAAACACAAGTTACATTCATGACAATGAGCTAAAAACAATGAAGTCTATGTTAACACTTGATAGAAACGATTTCTGAAGAACTACTAATCGAAAACCGACGACAAAAGCAGCACTGATTAAAAACCATTAAACATGTTAAATTAAAGCTACGAGAAACTAGTCCGCTGCAACCACATGACCGTAATTATTAAGAAATAAGTAAACCTGAACAACTTCAATTCAACTCGAGCTAGTAGAATGCAAACACGGATCAGCTTTTTTGAAAATCTGTAATATTCGTTCACGTTTAGCTACTCAATTCACATCTCGTTTCGACAGCTTTAACCCAGCAGTTAACACCACACCCCCAAAGAAACACGCACCCTTCTATGTGATTCATAGTTTGAACATTCAAGTTCAGTTGGGAAATCTCTGTACATGTCGAGGCCCTGAGTCCGAATGCCATCCGCATGGAGTGCCCATGCCTACCAGCGCTGCGCAAGTCCGCGTTTCTGGCCCTAACCGAAAACCAATCCCCCAAAAGCGCTCTCCCCCCCAAAAAAAGCAAAAACAAAAAAAACAAAACACAAAAAAAGAATGATAAACAAGTCAAAATAGAAAACAAATAAACAAAGGCGACAAAGAGTGAGCAACCCCACCCCCCCCCCCCCCCCCCCCCCCACCCTTATCCCCAAAAGAAACCAGCAAAGCCGAACATCTTGCGGCTCCCTGCACCGCCTGCACCCACAGTCGGCCTCGCGGATGGGAAACATGTCCATCATGGTCTCCATCCTCGGGGTTTAGGGTTTAGGGTTTAGGGTTTAGGGTTAGGGTTTAGGGTCTAGGGTTTAGGGTTTAGGGTCGTCCCCCCACCACACTTGAGGACCCCACTCGAACCTCCATGAACTAGGAGGGCCCTGAAAACCCTGTGAAAAATATTGTCTGAAAACTATTCCTAAACATGATCCTCTTGAACCCAATAAGGGAGACATGACAGATCCCAAGGGCCTACTTCTACGCCCTAAACCCCACAAACCCAAAACCCGAACAACAAAACCCTAGTCAATTATCTGCTTACGAACCACCCAAAACATTGTAACATAGAAACATATTCATAGGGATTACTCTTGATTTTGGGGGTTCTTGAGCAAACAGTAGTAGTGAAGGAACTATCCTGGGCTCCACGCTGCTTCGGAGCCTGCGGAGACGTGCGGCTTAGGGTTGGGGGTGTAGGGGTTTGGGGTTTCGGGGTTTAGGGTTTAGGGGGCTAAGCCCTAAACCCCAAACCCTAAACCCTGAATGCTAATCCCTCAAGCCCTCTACACCCTAAACTTAAGGTTTAAGGTTAGGGGCTTAGGGGTTTGTGGTCTAGCAGTTTAGGATTTGGGGTTTAGGGATCCATTCGCGAGCGCTCGGCATACGATGCCATCAATTTCAATGGCTCCCTTCCTTTGACCCAAACCCTAAACCCTAAACCCTAAACCCTAAACCCTAAACCCTAAACCCTAAACCCTAAACCCTAAACCCTAAACCCGGGGCACCGTGTCTCGAAGCGTATGGACGTACAGCTCGGCTTCCTTGCAGTGGTTGTTTGACGTGGCAAACTACCAAAAAAGTGGGGTTTAGGGTTTAGGGTTTAGGGTTTACAAGGGACCTTTTACCGGAGGTGTTCCAGTATGAACCGGTGTCTAAAGGCTAAACGCGCATGGGTGGACCACCTGGCCACGTCTTTATTCGTGGACAAGGCCATGGCGTTTAGGGTTTCACGGGCTTAGGGTCTCAAGGGTTGAGGGTCTCAAGGGTTGAGGGTTTCAAGGGTCGAGGGTCTCAAGGGTTTAGGGTCTCAAGGGTTTGGGGTCATAGGGTTTAGGCTTGGGTTTTGGGTCCACTGGATTTTGAGCTTTAAGGCTACTGGGAATGTATTGAGTGAACTTTGTCTTTTCTCAATGTTATGGGTTTTTGGGTGGGTGGGTTTTTTTCTAGCGCTTGACAAGCTGCCCTACTAGGGAATGCTCGGACTTGAGATGCTGAACCCTAAGCCCTAAGCCCTAAACCCTAAACCCTAGACCCCAAACCCTAAACCCTGAACCCTGAACCCTAAACCCTAAACCCTAAACCCTAACCGAGGTGGAGTGAAAATCCCTTCGGGTCCTGGGCGAAGCTCATGGCCATTGCCTCTTGCCCTGCGAAGCCCACGGCCTGGCTTAGGGTTTAGGGTTTAGGGTTTAGGTTTTAGGGTTTAGGGTTTAGGGGTTTAGGGGTTTAGGGGTTTAGGGGTTTAGGGGTTTAGGGGTTTAGGGGTTTAGGGGATTAGGGATTTAGGGGTTTAGGGGTATAGGGGTATAGGGGTTTAGGGGTTTAGGGGTTAGGGGTTAAGGGGTTAAGGGGTTAAGGGGTTAAGGGGTTAAGGGGTTAAGGGGTTAAGGGGTTAAGGGGTTAAGGGGTTAAGGGGTTTAGGGGTTTAGGGGTTTAGGGGTTTAGGGGTTTAGGGGTTTAGGGGTTTAGGGGTTTAGGGGTTTGGTTTGTATGTAGGACCTTTAGGGTTCATTTGGCGCAGTGCTTGGCCTCGACCTCACGGACTTCAAGGTATTTTTGTTTTAAGGATTTTAAGGTTTTTTTCGCATTGTAAAATCGACTAAAATCCATAAAATCCATAAAAAATAAAATCCGATGGGTTTTTTTTAGGAGAAGCCCCAAGCGATTTAAATTTTTAAAAATCCTTAAAATCCATTAAAAATAAAATCAAAATAATTTATTTTTTAAGGATTTTAAGGATTTTAGTCGATTTAAAAATGCATAAAATCCTTAAAAAAATATTCGGCCTCGGATTTTATTTTTTAAGGATTTTATGAATTTTAAAATCGACTAAAATCCTTAAAATCCTTAAAAAATAAATTGTTTTGATTTTATTTTTTATGGATTTTATGGATTTTTAAAAATTAAAATCCTTCGGGGCTTCTCCTAAAACAATATTCGGCCTCGGATTTTTTTTTAAGGACTTTACGCATTTTAAAATCGACTAAAATCCATGAAATCCATAAAAAAAAATAAAATCCGATGGGTTGTTTTTTAGGAGAAGCCCCAAGCGATTTAAATTTTTAAAAATCCTTAAAATCCATAAAAAATAAAATCAAAATAATTTATTTTTTAAGGATTTTAAGGATTTTAGTCGATTTTAAAATGCATAAAATCCTTAAAAAAATATTCGGCCTCGGATTTTATTTTTTAAGGATTTTATGAATTTTAAAATCGACTAAAATCCTTAAACTCCTTAAAAAATAAATTGTTTTGATTTTATTTTTTATGGATTTTATGGATTTTTAAAAATTTAAATCCTTCGGGGCTTCTCCTAAAACAATATTCGGCCTCGGAATTTTTTTTTTTAAGGATTTTACGCATTTTAAAATCGACTAAAATCCATAAAACCCATAAAAAATAAAATCCGATGGTTTTTTTTTTAGGAGAAGCCCCAAGCGATTTAAATTTTTAAAAATCCTTAAAATCCATAAAAAATAAAATCAAAACAAATTGTTTTTTAAGGATTTTAAGGATTTTAGTCGATTTTAAAATGCATAAAATCCTTAAAAAAAATATTCGGCCTCGGATTTTATTTTTTAAGGATTTTATGAATTTTAAAATCGACTAAAATCCTTAAAATCCTTAAAAAATAAATTGTTTTGATTTTATTTTTTATGGATTTTATGGATTTTTAAAAATTTAAATCCTTCGGGGCTTCTCCTAAAACAATATTCGGCCTCGGATTTTTTTTTTAAGGACTTTACGCATTTTAAAATCGACTAAAATCCATAAAATCCATAAAAAATAAAATCCGATGGTTTTTTTTTAGGAGAAGCCCCAAGCGATTTAACTTTTTAAAAATCCTTAAAATCCATAAAAAATAAAATCAAAATAAATTGTTTTTTAAGGATTTTAAGGATTTTAGTCGATTTTAAAATGCATAAAATCCTTAAAAAAATATTCGGCCTCGGATTTTATTTTTTAAGGATTTTATGAATTTTAAAATCGACTAAAATCCTTAAAATCCTTAAAAAATAAATTGTTTTGATTTTATTTTTTTATGGATTTTATGGATTTTTAAAAATTTAAATCCTTCGGGGCTTCTCCTAAAACAATATTCGGCCTCGGAATTTTTTTTAAGGATTTTACGCATTTTAAAATCGACTAAAATCCATAAAATCCATAAAAAATAAAAACCGATGGTTTTTTTTTTAGGAGAAGCCCCAAGCGATTTAAATTTTTTAAAAATCCTTAAAATCCATAAAAAATAAAATCAAAATAAATTGTTTTTTAAGGATTTTAAGGATTTTAGTCGATTTTAAAATGCATAAAATCCTTAAAAAAATATTCGGCCTCGGATTTTATTTTTTAAGGATTTTATGAATTTTAAAATCGACTAAAATCCTTAAAATCCTTAAAAAATAAATTGTTTTGATTTTATTTTTGATGGATTTTATGGATTTTTAAAAATTTAAATCCTTCGGGGCTTCTCCTAAAACAATATTCGGCCTCGGATTTTTTTAAGGGGTTTAAGGATTTTCTTCTATTTTAAATTAAGCTCCTAAGCTCCTAGGCGCCCAAGCACCTACCCCTTCAACCCTTAAAGAAGCCCCAA